TTTAATTTATCTATGTAAATGATTTGATAAATGCAGCTCACTACGTTTTTTTCCTCTTTAGGTTTGGCATGGCTTTTTGCTAGGGAGAGTTTGACTTATAGATAATGCATGCCCCCATGTACATTTATATTAATATTCCCACCATTTGTGTACATCAGGGGAAGAAGGTTTTCTGCATTCTTAAATTTGTCAGTGCTGCATGGCACCTTAATATTACTAAATTAATGCATATGCATTGGTAATGAATGTCATAAATAAGCAAATATCTTTTGATCCTCTTATCTGGTAATGTCTCTCATTCACTATCTTTATCCTTTTTGTGGTGTAAAAATCTGATGAAAATTGTGTGTTCTCCTAAGGATACCTTTGTAAGGATACCTTTGTAAGGATACAGAATATAAATATCAGTGCCTATTGAGGTCATGCATATACAGTAAATCAGCTTTTTCCAATATGAGCCCACACACAAAGGTTTACAAATTAAAATAAAACGTGTTTGGCTAAAACAGTGGATGGGAAGCATTTTGTCTTGAGGTCAACCCAGGGAAGGACCGTCAACCCTTTTGCTCAGGGGCAAAAGTGATAGGTTGAACACCCCCTCTTTGGTTCACGGTCGAACATTCGAACCTACCAAATGTTCGACAGCGAACTTCGAACAGGGACAATTTACTGAACGGTATCTTACCGCATCTCAGTATGCAGTAAGATACCGCTCAGTTACTAAAATACTGCATGAGTTATATTATTAAGTAATGCAGTATTTTAGTAGCAAAACATTCATTCATGTTTCAGCTGTCAGTGGGGTTCCCTGCTGACAGCTGAATGTCAAAAGAATTATCGGCATTGCCTGACAATTACATTTAAAAAAAAAAAAAAAAGCATGGGGTGCCTCATATCCATACCAAGCCCTTCGTGTCTGGAATGGATTTTGAGGGGAACTCCCACGCCAAACTTTTTTTAAAAATGGAATTGTGGTCCCCCCAAAATCCATACCAGACCCTTATCTGAGCATGGAGTCTGGAAGGTCAGGAAAGGTGGGGGGCAAGTGTGCGCCATACCAGGCCACATGCCCGTGACATGGGGGGTGCTTTGGGAAAGGAGGGCTCCCCTCCCAAGCACCTTGTCCCCATGTTGATGGGGACAAGGGCCTCTTCCCCACAACCCTGGCCAGTGGTTGTGGGAGTCTGCTGGCAGGGGGCTTATCGGAAACTGGGAGCCCCTTTAACAAGGGGGCCCCCAGATCCCAGCCCCCCCCATGTGAATGAGTATGCGGTACATGGTAAAGAAGTAGTGTAAAAAATACAGGAGACAGTCTTTGACAAGTCCTTTATTAAAAATAAAAATAAAAAAATGTCCCACTTAGTAGATCCAATGTTAATCACGTTGGCTGCCGCCACTGCCGACCCAAAAAAAGAAAAAAAAAAAAAATCCACTCCACCCTCAACGCTGAATTCCGCTGTCTGGCAGCTGCACCGTGATGACAGTTCTTAAATAGGGTAATGACGTCACAAGGGGGAGAGATCACCCTTGCCCCCTTGTGATGTCATCATGCCTTATGATTGGCCAAAGCATTGCACCTGACCTATGGTCAGGGTGCAGTGCATTGTTGGGCACCGTGGGCGAATAGTCCGCCAAATGCCCGTACCGTTCGTGTGTTCAGTGAAAACTGCCCATGTTCGAGTCAAATTTACATTTGACTTAAAAATGCAGCCCATACTTACTTTTTTACAGTAGAAACACTTTTAAGGCAGTAATGCTTAACAAAACAAACTACCTTTTCATATTCTACAAACATATACACCCTATCCCGCAGTCTCATACTGCTAACATAATGTCCATCATAAAGTCCCACATACAAAAAGTCCAAAAATAATTAAAATGATAAAAATATAAAATAAAAATAAAAAATAAAAATAAAATGTGCAAATAATGATCCTCGCTCTTCAATCTTCCAACTGTGAAAATGTCCAAATCTTCCCTTCAATCCAAAAGTACCTCAAAAAAATATACTAGATATAGTGCATTATCTTTTATAGAAATCAATATACGTGATAACATGCAGCCACACTGGTGACATAAATAAAACATCACACATGTGAAGTGAGAAAGCAACACACCACTTGACTAGTGGTCCTGTGAAACCACCACTGCAATGCGTGACACTCTACAAATACACAATTTGTGATCAGTGACAAAATAGTGCCAAAATAGGTGCCACTCTGCATACAGGATAATATACAATTACCCTCTTTAACTTTCAAAGCATACTGGAAATCCTTTGTACCACATACAGTTGCCTTCACTGGGAGTATGCTTTCCTTTATATGAGTAGACAAATGGAATCACTTCCTCATACAATAACGGGCATGACCTCCAACTGACTGGAGGAAAGTTCCCAACTCATCTTAGAAAGTCATATTTTACTGAAAGGGTAGTTGATGCTTGGAATAGACCTCCAGCAGAGGTAGTGAGTCAGTCAGCAGTAAGTGGCTTCAGACATCTTCAGACATTGATGTCTGAAGCCACTTACTGCTGACTGACTCACTACCTCTGCTGGAGGTCTATTCCAAGCATCAACTACCCTTTCAGTAAAATATGACTTTCTAAGATGAGTTGGGAACTTTCCTCCAGTCAGTTGGAGGTCATGCCCGTTATTGTATGAGGAAGTGATTCCATTTGTCTACTCATATAAAGGAAAGCATACTCCCAGTGAAGGCAACTGTATGTGGTACAAAGGATTTCCAGTATGCTTTGAAAGTTAAAGAGGGTAATTGTATATTATCCTGTATGCAGAGTGGCACCTATTTTGGCACTATTTTGTCACTGATCACAAATTGTGTATTTGTAGAGTGTCACGCATTGCAGTGGTGGTTTCACAGGACCACTAGTCAAGTGGTGTGTTGCTTTCTCACTTCACATGTGTGATGTTTATTTATGTCACCAGTGTGGCTGCATGTTATCACGTATATTGATTTCTATAAAAGATAATGCACTATATCTAGTATATTTTTTTTGAGGTACTTTTGGATTGAAGGGAAGATTTGGACATTTTCACAGTTGGAAGATTGAAGAGCGAGGATCATTATTTGCACATTTTATTTTTATTTTTTTATTTTATATTTTTATTTTTATCATTTTAATTATTTTTGGACTTTTTGTATGTGGGACTTTATGATGGACATTATGTTAGCAGTATGAGACTGCGGGATAGGGTGTATATGTTTGTAGAATATGAAAAGGTAGTTTGTTTTGTGCACTTTCAAGGGTGAAAGTTTGACTTTTTCATGTGGGAAATCATAGAGTGTTGATTTATTATAGTAATGCTTAACACACTTTGAAAAGCTATACATGGTGGATTGCTTTTCAAAAGGTGGTATAGCAACAGCTGGTAGGTATACAGAAGGTGATACTACTACTCTCCTGACACTTTTTTTTTTTCTTTTTGGCTTTTTTAAAATTCCTGAATGTTATATTGTGCCACTTTACCTCACTGCAAGCCCAGCATTTGGCTTGTGGTTGCACTGTGGCCACATTAATTGACAAGATTGACAGGTAGCACCACCTGTGAAACTCTAAAGCCTATGTTAAAATTGCTGGGGCCTCAGCATGTGTACAGCACAGTCAGGCTGTAATGTTAGATTTCCGATGGTTGATGGGCAGGGAGGTGTTAGGGTAGAAAAGCCATGGCTCAGCCACCAGTTTTAACCCCCCCCCCTTCCCGCCACCAGAGCCCTTACACTGCACAGCTCAGCTGAAGCAATTGGTAGGCATGGTTACAGATAGATGTGGTCTCAAAGCGAGCTATATTCGAGTCGAATATATTCGCTGTGAATTTAACTTAAAAAAGGGTGTTTCTAGGCTTCAGAGAGACTTAATATTAGTGCTGAACACTGTACCTTTAATTTAAATGCCCTTGGAGTCTGCTGGGGAAGAGAAATAATACTGTCAGGCAGTATGACATGCAGATGAGTGCCGTCGATCTTAGAATCACCGCACACTTCACTCATTTGGGCAGTCACGGGGCCAAAACCAGAGTGTGGAGCCACAGTGTGGCGGTGGAGGCAGCAGCAATGGGAGGCCATACAGCACCCTATGACAAAAATGGAAACCACCAGCAGTGTGAGGAGACCTGAAAGTGGCACATGGCAGAGTGTGGCGATAGAGACAGCAGCAATGGGAGGCCGTACAGGGACCCATGACACACTCTGGACCTGGCAGCAGCAGCATGAGGAGGCGGTACAGGGGGCCCATGGCAGATTACGGGCCTGGCAGCAGCATGAGGAGTCGGTACGGGGGCCCATGGCAAATTACAGGCCTGGCAGCAGCAATGGGAGGCCGTACAGGGACCCATGACACAATCTGGACGTGGCAGCAGCATGGGGAGGCGGTACAGGGGCCCATGACAGATTACGGGCCTGGCAGCAGCATTTGGAGTCGGTACGGGGGCCCATGACACACTCTGGACCTGGCAGCAGCATGAGGAGGCGGTACAGGGGCGCATGACAGATTACGAGCCTGGCAGCAGCAACTTGGACAGGAGGACGTTCAGTTTCTGCACTGCACCGTCTGGTGCGTGCTCGCAAACTGTTGTCTCTTGGAAACGGATTCCAAGAAAGACTGCTGACGGAATCCGTGAAGAGGAGTAGCAGGAGCAGGAGAAGGAGCATCTGAACGAGCGGAATATGCCAACAAGCGACAACAGGGGCCCATGGCAGATTAGGGGCCTGGCAGCAGCATGGGAGGCCCGTAATCTGCCAGCTATGCCCGTAATCCCACCCTATGACAAAAAATGGAACCCACCAGCAGTGTGAGGAGACCTGAAAGTGGCACATGGCAGAGTGTGGCGATGGAGACAGCAGCAATGGGAGGCCGTACAGGGACCCATGACAGACTCTGGACCTGGCAGCAGCAGCATGAGGAGGGGTCGGTATATAGGGGCCCATGGCAGATTAGGGGCCTGGCAGCAGCTATGGGAGGCCCGTAATCTGCCAGCACCCTATGTCAAAAAAATTCTACACACCAGCAGTGTGTGAGACCTGAAAGTGGCACATGGCAGAGTGTGGCGATGGAGACAGCAGCAATGGGAGGCCGTACAGGGACCCATGAGAGACTCTGGACTTGGCAGCAGCATGAGGAGGCGGTATAGGGGGGCCCATGGCAGATTAGGGGCCTGGCAGCAGCTATGGGAGGCCCGTAATCTGCCAGCACCCTATGACAAAAAATGGAACACACCAGCAGTGTGAGGAGACCTGAAAGTGGCACATGTTTGGGGCATGATTCATGGCGGATTTAGTCAGTTGTGTCAGGAACTGGTGGTTTGAAATCCAGACTAATCCACGCCTGATTCATTTTCACAAACGTCAGTCTCTCCACACTTTGGGTGGACAGTCGTGTCCTCCGCGGAGTTGCAATACCTCCTGCCGCACTAAACACGCGCTCCGATGCCACGCTACTGGCCGGGCATGACAGCCTTTCAAGGGCAAATTCAGCTAGTTGGGGCCAAAGGTCAAGTTTCGTTGCCCAGTAGTCAAGGGGATTGTCTACCTCGGTTGGCAGGGTGCTGTCCAAGTAGGCCTAAGCCTGTTGTTTGAGGTCCTGCTCCAGGTCCACCTGATGCTGCTGCTGCTGCTGCTGCTGCTGCTGGTTAGTAGTTTCCTCACTGCGCTGGTGAAGAAAGCTACTCATCATCGACTGCAGACTGAGGCAGCCGCTGCTGGTGGAGCTGCCACTGCTCCTACCACCCCACCCCCCTCCCCTGCTGCCATGGCAGCGGAACGCGAGCGCACAGGGCCCACAGTGTCTGAGGATGGACGTTGGCGCAGAAAGGCAGAGACCAGCTGACTACATAGGTGGTTTTTATAGTACGTTATTTTTTTGGCCTCCTCCCTCTCAGCAGGTGTGAAAAAGGCCACCATTTTTGAACGGTAGCGAGGGTCCAACAAGGTGGACAGCCAAAAGTCATCCCTCTGTCTGATGGTTATTATTCGGCTGTCGCTACGCAAGCAACCGAGCATGCTATGGGCCATTTGTGCCAAGGAATGCGAGGGACTCCCTGCCTCCATCTCCACAGCATACTGCCACGGTGCGTCTGGGTCCTCTGTCTCCTCCTCCTCCTCCTCCTCTACCAGATGCTCCTGCTCCTCCACTCCTGTCCGCTGAGTGGAAAAACCACCCATTTCACTCAATAATTCCTGAGCACCAATGTCCTCCTCTACCTCCTCCTCTTCTTCCTGTCCTGCCCCCACAGGGGTCATGTGTGCGTTGAGATCTGTGCGCCACGTCTACCGCACCCTGACCAGCCATTGTTAACAGCATTTGTTCCAGGACGTGCAACAGAGGAATGACGTCGTTCATCCCATAGTCCTGCCGACTCACGAATAGCGTGGCCTCCTCAAAGGGCCTGAGCAAGCGCAGGTGTCACGCATGAGCTGCCAATGGCTGACATCTAAGTTACACAGGGGAGTACCTTTATCCGCTTTTAACATCAGGAAATCTGTGATGGCCTTTTGCTGTTCGTAAAGTTTTTGGATATTTTATTCAGCAAAGGAGGAGGCCGTATAGAGTTGTTTTTTGGCAACGTCCTGCACAGCTAGCATGAGGGTCGGTAAGGGGCCCCATGGCAGATTAGGGCCTGGCATCGAAGCTGCAATGGGAGGCCCGTCATATCTGCCAGCACCCGTATGTACAAAAAAATGTCTACACACCAGCAGTGTGTAGTTGGAGGAGACCTGAAAGTGGCACATGGCAGAGTGTGGCGGGCGATGGAGACAGCACAAAGGGAGGCCGTACAGGGACCCATGACAGATCTGGAACTTGCAGCAGCATGAGGAAGGCGGTGATATAGGGGGCCCTATGGGCAGATTAGGGGCCTGGCAGCAGGCTATAGGTAGGCCCGTAAAATCTGCCAGCAACCCTCATGTCAACAAAATTCTACACACCAGCAGTGTGATGAGACCTGAAAGTGGTCACATGGCAGGATGTGGCGATGGAGACCAGCAGCAATGGGAGGCCGACACAGGGACCCATGATAGACTCTGGACCAGG